AATTGGTAAGGCAAGCTTCCTTTGAGGGTTTAGGGTTTAGAGCCCTCCAACATAAGGGTTGCATGATTAAACATTACGTATAATAGTTGTATTCAGTTGTTGAAGAATTTTTTTTAATTTTATATAAGTATAGTTGTTTGATATACGTTCACGTTTCGGGACCAAGTAGTTAGATGTGTGCATTAGCCTATATCCTTGAGGCAGAGCACAAGAAATCTGGCACGTAAATATTTACTAAGAGCGATAGCTTTTGCTCTGCATGAAGACCGAACCTAGAATCAACTTTGCAATTATGCCTATCATGCTGAAGAGAACCTGTTGAAAAATAGGATTTGCACACAACTGCAAGTATTTTAAACCCTAAACCCAACTACTCACATAGAAAAATTATGCAACAGAGATGTCAATTATGTGAGGAGTTGGGTTTAGGGTTTAAAATGCTTGTAGTTGTGTGCAAATCCTATTTTTCAGCAGGTTCTATTCAGCATGATAGGCATAATTGCAAAGTTGATTCTAGGTTCGGTCTTCATGAAGAGCAAAAGCTACCGCTCTTGGTAAATCTTTAAGTGTCGGATTTCTTGTGCTCTGCCTCGAGGATATAGGCTAATACACGAATCTAACAACTTGGTCCCGAAACGTGAACGTATATCACAACAACTATCCTTATATAAAATTAAAAACAATTCTTCAACAACTGATTACAACTATTATATGTAATGTTCAATCATACAATCCTTACGTTGGAGGGCTCTAAACCCTAAACCCTCAAAAGAAACTTGCCTTACAAATTCCTAGCTTACCATTTGGACCCCCATGTTTTATTGGCTATGTTGTCAACATGATTAACCTGGATAATCCCAGTTACAGAACTGATTCCGGCCATGATTGCGGGAGACTATAGTCTACAGATTGTTTGGCATTTATGTGATGATGTAGGGTTAATTTTGTTAATGTAGGGTTAATTTTGTATAAGTTACATACGATTTATAATTTTGTATGTGATGTAATTATGTATGAGATGAGAAAAGTTAGCAATTGGTTGTTGTACATGTTTCTTATACACAATAGGAGTCATGTTGATACTTACGATATATGAAGATCGTTATCATCGCTTGCGGGACTAAATGTCCATTCTATTCCGTCTTCGAAAAAATCAGTTGATGTAGGTTGTGTGCTTGTATTTAAACTGAGCTTGACTTGAGGACATGTTAGTTTTTTATATCCCTCACCGTTGCAGTACCCACATCGCCTAATTTTCTTCTCGACCTTGTTTTTCGGTACTTCTTTTCGCTTGCGTTGTTTTCGTTGAGGGTCACGAACGTTGTTTACTACAATGCTCTGGTTGACTGAATCATTCAAACCAAACGAGTTTTCTATTTCTTCTATTAGTCTTTTCATCTTATCTCTTGCGGTTTTGAAAGACATGTATGTCTTTGATGCAATGTAGCATACATAACCTACTTGACGTTGAACGTAGAGCAGCGAACCTTGCCATTTGCATCACTTCTAGAGACACATTCAAGTCAACATAATTGGGTGCAGAAGCCTTCGCATCATTAGTCCACCTACTTTGAATCAAAGTCCCGAGAAAATATGTGTAATCCAAGTGCTTCAAAATGTGAAGTTGATGGCGACACGGAAGTCCAACGGTCTTGAATTTTTTGCAGGAGCAAATTAAGGTTTCTGTACGAGAATCAAAACTAATTTCAAATGTCATATTTTTTTCTTTGTACTTTGACAAAATATAATGTTGACATTCATCTGATAAGGACTGAATCTCTTCCTCAATCCGGTACAATGTCTCCCGTAGAAGTTCATCTTGGAACGCATGAAAAGATTCGCGGGTAAAAATCTCAGCAGCATGGCTTTCAAGGTCGACCAATTTTGTGATCTGGAAGGGCTTCGTATGGGAACTTAAGTAATCCTCTTTCAACTCGTTCATACACATTCTACTAATTCCATCTTCAATTGCACAAACAATATCTAAATATGTCTTCTTGTGTTTCAGTGCAATCGCTAGTGAAGCATTCATAGACTCGTACCTTTGTGTTGAGTGAATATTGGCAAAGAAATGACTGGTTAGGTATGCTTGTGCCCATAAGTGTCGTGTATTTCCCTTCTCAATCACCCATGGATGCTTTTCGATGTTGAATTCTGAAACAACCGAACGCCATTGAATATTAAATTCCTCGGTTGTTCACCAGGAAGCCATGCATTTTTAGAATACTGCTGTAAATTTTGGGTCACCAATGTTAGCTTGTGCATTGCGAGAAAGATGCCAAGAACATAATTTATGCTTAGCATAAGGGATAACAGATTTGATAGCCCTCTGCATTGCTCTTTCCCCATCGGTGACAACTGAAATAGGTGATTTATTCATCATGGCTTCTAAAAAATTCTGTAGCACCCACTCGAAATATTGAGACGTCTCGACAGCGATTATGGCAGTGGAAAACACAATTGTGTTATGGTGATGATTGACACCGACAATAGGCATAATTGGTCGACCATACAAATTATCTTTGTACGTTGTGTCGAACGCAATTACATCATCGAAGCATGTGTAATCCGATCTCAATGTAGAATCCGACCAAATAAGATTATGTAATGCCCCTGATTCGTCTATCGAGTATGTTATAAAAAAACCGTGATCATTATGTTTCTTATAATCAAAGTAGGCAATAAGCGCATTCACATCCCCATCGACGATTTCCTTTGCTTTACCTCTTTGAAGTGCTTTGTAGAGGTCTTTATGTGTAAATCCAACATTATGATAGCCCCCTGCCTGCTGCGTTAAATAGTTCATTACTTGTGACGTGCCAACACCGACCTCTTTTAATGTTGTTGCCTCATCGATATCAGCCTTACTTACAGCTCTATTAGAACGCATAAATGGTGTCATAGCAGGTGTGCACAATGCATGATTATGTTTCTGATAAGACTTACTTATAACCCACTGATCGTTTGTATTTGTTGCTGTAACTACGACTTTAGCCTTACATCCTGTTCTTGTGACTGGCGTATGAGCACGTTGATGATTAACAGTATTGACTTTTGATACTCGAAACCCTTCTTTGGAACAACAAAATTCTTGTGTCTTCACATTCCTTTCCACTTCAAGCCGTGCTGTTCCCTTACGTGCACTAAACCCATGTTCCCGTGCGAATCCCTTGTAAAAGTACCAAGCTTGATCACGTGAACAGAAGAACTGACCAACCAATATGTCAGATTCATCAACATTATGTACTTTATGGCATTCCTTGGTTGGCTTAACATTGTCTGCATCAGTATGATCCATGACAAAAATTTTGTTGTGCAAGTTCAGTGGTCCCGGAGTTGATGGAGATGTAAGCAAAAGTTCATTGAACATGTTTCAGTCGTGATGCTTTCAATTGGATGTGGTATTGGTAGTGATAGTTAAAGGGTGGGTACAACATTAAATTCGCAGTACATATTTAGGTATGTACAATAACTACCTAAATATGTGTCGATACATTTTCTACAAGTATCGACCCAAAAAACATCAAAACAAATAATTATAATGTAATAGGTAAATTAACAATGTAACCGGTATAAATATATCGGTTAAATATAGAATAGGTCTACAATATGTATCGACACTTGTGGAATTTGTGTCGATACTTATTGTCTAGATTGAAATCCCAAACGAGGTGCACACATAAAGTGTCGATACATTTATTAAACGTATCGATCCCAAAAACATCGAAACCGATAATTATAATGTAATAGGTAAATTTACAATGTAACCGATATAAATATATCGGTTTTATAAGAAAATAGGTCATCATAAAGTATCGACACTTGTTAAAAAAGTGTCGATATATTTTGTCCATAATGAATGTCAAACGGGGTGCACGCATAGAGTGTCGATACATTTATTAGAAGTATCGATCCCAAAAACATCGAAACAAAAATTACAATGTGATATGTAAATTTACAATGTACCCGGTATAAATATATCGGTTTTATGAGAAAATAGGTCTAAATAATGTATCGACACTTTTTTAGTTTGTGTCGATACTTTTTTCCATAATGAAATATGAATGCCCAACGAGGTGCAAGCATAAAGTGTCGATACATTTAAAATTGTATCGATCTAAAAAACATCAAAACCGATAATAATAATGTAATAGGTAAATTTGCAATGTTACCAGTATAAATATACCGGTTTTATGAGAAAATATGTCAGCATAAAGTATCGACACTTGTTAAATTTGTGTCGATACATTTTGTCCATAAAGAATGTCAAACGGGGTGCACGCATAGAGTTTCAATACATTTATTAAAAGTATCGATCTCAAAAACATCGAAACAAAAATTACAATGTGATATGTAAATTTACAATATATCTGGTATAAATATACCGGTTTTATGAGAAAATAGGTCTAAATAATGTATCGACACTTTTTTAGTTTGTGTCGATACTTTGTTCCAGAATGAAATATGAATGCCCAACGAGGTGCAAGCATAAAGTGTCGATACATTTAAAATTGTATCGATCTAAAAAACATCGAAACCGATAATAATAATGTAATAGGTAAATTTGCAATGTTACCGGTATAAATATATCGGTTTACTTCGAAAATAGGTCAATATAAGCGCTACCTATTACATTATATAAGAGATACCTAATATGTTATTGTACTTGATAATATTTTCGGTTAAATGCCTATTTTATTATATAAGCGCTACATATTACATTATATAAACGCTACCTAATATGTTATTGTACTTGATAATATTTCCAGTTAAATTATATAACATTTCCGGTTAAAAATTTAATCAATCACTTATTTAACCGATCACGCTATTTTTTAGTCGTTTTTTAACCGCAGCACAACAACTACCCGTTTCCGTGCTATGCTCAATCGCTTAACTAAATAATTAATTTTAAATAAATAAATAAATAAAAGGTATAAATGCAGTAAAGATCTGTATTTTTAATAATTTGGAAATATCAAAGGAATTTCGCCCTAAAGAGAGTTTCTAATAATGAAAAATGTCCTCTAAATCTAAACCTCCACATTCTGCCCACAAATCATCTAGGCCAAGTTCAGAAAAAATGTCGCCAAAAACGTCTACTCCGTCCGGGAACTTGAAATCCTGCGTGCCGAAATCTGGGAACTCGAATTCCCCCACCGTTGTTGTATCGCTTCCGCCTGCCACGGCGGGCTCAGAACCCACACAAGTACCCGTTGAAACCCCATTGGACAAATTGACGGCGGAGCTAGAAGAAGTACTCGCCGCCGCAGTTGAAACCCCATCGACGGCCGAGCTAGAAGTACTCGCCGCTGCAGTTGAAACCCCAATGGACAAATTGACGGCCGAGCTAGAAAAAGGACTCGCCGTCGCCGTTGTAAACCCATTGACGGCCGAGGTAGAAGTACTCGCCGCTGCGGTTGAAACCCCATTGATGACCGAGGTAGAAGTACTCGCCGCTGCAGTTGAAACCCCATTGACGACCGAGGTAAAAGTAGTCGCCGCCGTTTCTGTTTCACTTCCGGCTCCGGCATGTTGATCGAAGATGTCTGAGTGGGTCGAACCCTGAGGCATGTTGAGAATAGCCTTGTCGCCGTACATAGCAGAGGCGGCCTTGTCGTAGGCCAGAGCAGCGTCGAGAGCAGTCGGGAAAGTGCCGAGCCAGAGCCTCTTCTCCTTGTTGGGCGCGCGTATCTCCGCCACCCATTTACCCCAAGTCCGCTGCCGCACGCCTCTGTAGCAGCAATTCTGATTCTGCGGCCCTCCTTTTCCCTTCATACAACCCTTCTTCGACCCCTTCGCCGGCGCCTTACGAGCCTTCTTCTCGTCGGGTTTTTCAATCCACTCCTTCAAAGTATCCTCCACCGACAACCCCCGACGCTTTATTTTCCGGCAAGGACCCGAACCCATACTCGGGCTTTGATTCTCCGTCGAACCCATCACCAATTTCAACAAAAAAACAGGGATTTTGATGCACGCCGCCGAGTTCTTGATTATCAGAGAAATAACACAACAAAAACCCAGAAAATCAACGCCGAGAACAGCCAAAAGCTTGAACGTAGCTCAGTATCACGATCGTTGTGAATTCGAAGAGAAGACCAGAGAGATTTTTTATTCAAATTTGTAAGTGAAACTTTACTGGTGGGAGGTAAGATATTTATACGCGTTTTTTTCCCGTTTATTTCATTCGGTACAAGACGTGTCAGAATCGAAGTATAATTCAATGATCGTTTGTCACCTTAAGACACTGCCACTTGTCATCGATCTTCCCGTTACATCCGGAGCGTTATCTTTCCAGCTTACTTAGTTTCGAAAATATTTTGTTTTTTTAGCCCGTTTCCGCTTTTACCCTACGCTCTAGAACTTTAATTCTGCACATGCCCACCCAAGCGACCTGGTCAAAGGGTTTTCTTGTCATTAACAAAACATGGGCCTTAACTAACTAAGATCCCTAATGCAACGGTAAGAATCTTAAAACATTTTCCGTTCCGTCTAAAAGAGGCAATACAATTATTTTAATTATAATAGAAAACAATGGTGTTATAACATAAATAGAAACTCTAATGATTATTTAATCATAGTAAAGTGAGTACGTAATATAAAAATATTTTTAATGAACTACTAAAAGTATTAGACAAAAATGCATCAGAGCCCCTGCACTTTTAAAAAAATTAATGTGGGTATCATATTATTTTTTTCATCCAACGTGACCGTCCAACTCGGAAAACAAACAAAATGTGAAATTTTGACAAATATTTTCTGCCGTTGATTATTACGGTATTAACGTGATAGTTCACGATAACTAATGACATGACGAATGACGTGGAGGTTAAATTCCGATTTAGACGATCGAAATAAGTCAATCTTGTGATGTCCAGTCTAAAAAACTAATAAAAAAATGCAAAGTTAGCACACATTTAGATGAATAAAATGATTGAGTGGTTAAAATAAGAATAATTTAAAAATTAAATTATTAAATAAAAAATTAAATTATAAGTACTAAAATAAGAGTGAAAAAAAGTTGAATGGTGATTTGTATAATTTATCATTAAATAAACAAAAATACTCGAGCTAAACCAAGAACGGTCTATTCTCATGTGTGTGTTGATATGAGATCAGAAAACGACTCATTACAGGAGCCGTAAAGTGTAGACAACGATGGATTGGAAGGGGAAAAGATTCCAAAAACTAAGACTTTGAATAAAGAATCAGAATTATAACAATGGCTGGAAGGAAGTGAAGACAAATTGGATAAAAGAGAAAGTAAACAGGTGGATTATTTTTACAAAATTCGTTAATTTTATTTAATAATAAATATTTTGAAGTAATAACTTAATTTCACATAAGGACCACATAAAGAAAGACTAAAGATTTAACTAAGAAACTCGAACAAATATAGATACAAACAGATGCGATTGCATAGGTAAACAAACCAAAAAGGGATTAAGCTACCAAAAGACTATCGACAAACCACGAATCAGACTCGAACGACGTGAAAAGCTATCCACGAATACAAATCAAGTATCAAAATCCAATCCAATGGTCTAAAACAGAGAATATTAACAAGATATCAGATAAGCTTCATCTTTGTCAGTCGTGTCGATGTTTCATCAACCCCTAGAAAAGAATAAATAAAAAAAGGTCAAACGATTGAAAGACATGCCAAAAGACAAAAGAAATCGTGTCATATCGACAAACTTATTAGAAATAAAAAAAAAAAGAAAATAAAGATGCAATATAAGAAAATAAAAAACAATAAAGAATATCAGTGTTTGACAACCAACATTGAAGTGATGTTGTCGCTAGTTATTTTAAATTAGTTCCTAAATATTTTTAACATTTCAATTTCATCCCAAACTATATGAATATACTAATCACACTTGTTAATAAAATTAATAGGCCAAGTTATACTATATGTTTGAAAAAAAATAAAATTTAGGTTAAACTATAGTTAAAACTAATTACATATTTGGACGAATTTAAGGATGAAATTGGAAATTTCAAATGTTTGTAGATTAATTTAGAATGAGTGTCATAGTATAGGGATGGAATTAAAATACTTAAAAAATTAAGGACTAATTTAAAATTAGAGTCGTATTTTGAGGATGAAATTAGAATATTAAAATGTTTAAAAACTAATTTAAAAGGAGAATATAACTCGGGGACATATGATATAATTAACTTTTTTTTTAAAAGAAAATAATTAATTTTAACCGTTATATTAATATGAATTTAATTAAGTTCAAAACTCGTCTCCAACCGCTTAAAATCAACAAATTTCTATTATAAGATTCTCAAATTTTGAATTATTTAAATATACTTTTTCATTAATTATTAAACAAATATTATTCTCGTAAATTTGTTTAATAATTTAGTGCATCATGATAATTATTTATATACGAAAATACTTTTATATATACCGTTTAAAAACATTAATCACATATTTTTACGAAGTATTAAAAAGCTAATTTTGAATATATTTTTATATTAAGCCTAAAAATAAAAAGGATAAGTACCACATTTAGTACTTAAACTATAAATTTTGGTATGTTTTAGTAGTTAAACTTTCATTTTTTTTCAAAATCATTCATAACATTTAATTTTTGTTTCATTTTAGTACACGTTAAAAACTTAACGTTAAGTTTTGAAGAAAAAAATAAAGTTTAGGTACTAAAACGGATCAAAACTGATGGTTTAAGTACTAAACTCGTTAAGTTTTTAATGGTAGGTACTAAAATAAAATAAAAAATAAACGTTAGGTATAATTTTAAAAAAAATAAAAGTTTAGATACTAAAACAGATAGTTTAAGTACTAAACGCATAGTTTATCCAAATAAAAATAAACTAATTATTCATTGTATAAATAGATTTTAGCAATTGGAAACTATGAATGGAAATAGCTAAAAGAAACGAACGTAGAAACATTCTTTTCAGAACGGGAAAAGAGTGAACATTTCGAAACTAAATAAATTAATATTTCACAGCTCCGATCACCACTCACATTCTTCGCCATTAAAGCTCTTTTTCCGGCAGGTAACTGAAACTCGTTTCGATTATTTTTCAGAAGGCACGTCGTCGTTTTATCGTTGAAGAAGGATTTTGTTTCTAATCTGAAAATTGTTATGCGTTCTTCGAATCGCTCGCATTTCCGTGTTTATCTCTTCATGTGTTTATTTTCTGCATTTTTTAAAAATTTATTTGGAAATATTAATCAAGATTCGCATTGCGTGAAATTGATCTGTTCTGATACTCAGCTTGCAGGATCCGAAGGTGTCTCACTCGATTTTTAAGCTTTTAATTCTCTTCTGCATCACTTGTTTGGTTACTGAGAAAACAATTGAAAATTGAGCTTTAAAGAAATTCTGCATATTATAAAATTTTCGTTTTATAAATTATAATTCCTTTCTGTTATTATCGGACGTCATTCAGCTCAACTTTCTTCATCTTTTATTGAACTGAGCTCCAACGACTTAGCTAGTAATATATATATATATATATATATATATATATATATATATATATATATAATATATTTCTAATTTTCCCCCTCTTATTTTCCTTTTCAGGTGGGAATATTAACTTTGTTATGATGAATTGAGTTTGTGCGTTTTTTCGATATTTATAGCGCGGGACAAGTGAAAGGCTTTTTAAGATGGGGATATTTGATAAATTTCCGATTCCTAAAGAGAAAGAAGTAAGTTTAATTCATTCTTCTTCTAGTCCAATGATTAAGCTTTGTTTGGCAGCGGCTTTTGCTTCTAAAGCTTTTTGCCTGATTTTTTTTCCCGGAATGCAAAACTGTAATTGATCAGTAATAAATAAATGGTTAAAATGTCATATCAATTCTAATATTAATAATTTTTTGTACTTGTATATTCGCGTGTTTTTATTTTTCAATCTGAACTGAAAATTGAGTGATAAAAGCAACAATAAAATGGTTTTGTTGTTGCATGTTTTGGCAACCATCTTGAGGTTGGTGGAGCAGGAAGTGTATAATGGTTATTATTTGTTTTGGTATAGGATGCTTTACTTGAACTGTGTTATTATATTGATTTGTGGTGAAAATTTTGATGAAGTATGGGAAAGAAGATACTGCTGTGTTCGGTAGATTTAACTTGTGTGTTATGGTTTTTCTTATGTTTTGTCTTTTATTTGCATATGATTAAAAACAGCATTTACGTGAAGAGCTTTTAAGAGTAGAAGATTGTTGGAATGCTCAACGATTTGATTCACTGCCTCATGTTGTCCGTATCCTGACATCAAGAAATCGTGAAGGTGAACTTGAGATTTTAAAGGAACAAATCGATGTTGTCGAGGAAGTTGTAGATGAAGTTGTTCACACTTATCACGGTGGCTTCAACAAAGCAATCCAAAATTATTCTCAGGTTCTTTTATATATTCTGCTAAGTAAATCTTTTTGCACTGTGCCTCTCAAGTTTGTTTTATTATATAGTAATGGCTCTTTTTTGTGTTTTTTTCTTGGTTAAACTGCAAATTGATGATTATTTCAAAACCCATTTCTGATGATTATTTCGTTGATTATGTGTCCTGTACTCATATTTTTCTCAATTATTTGCTTCCGATAATGTTGGGTCCAAACTCAATGAATATAGAATGTTTTTCTCTATAGTTTCAGACATAGAATCATTTTATTTTTATTCTAAAACTTGTTGTAAAATTGCATATAAATGAAAAACATGTCTTCTAGAAATAAACATTAGGCTTCATAGGAATGAGACTTTATACCCCTTAGCAATTCTCCGTCATTTATGAATTGCTTACTTTTAGATGTGGGGACACTGAAAATATTGGTGAACCTCATAGAAGACAACTGACCCGTGCTACTGTTATTCATTTTGTTAAAGCCACCAGAATTGAGATTATTGTCATGTTTTCTTTTCTATTTTGTGATGAAGGAAGTTTGAATGGTGATCATCCTCGTAAGGAGTTCCCACGAGCTTGCGCTCTTAAAATGTTTTGGAATAAATGTTTTATATAATGGTGTCTACTATTAGAACACAGTTTGTTTTTGAAGAAATGTGTTTCAGCATGCAGGATTCATCTTCCGGGACTTATCCTCATGAATTCTCGCATGCAACAATTTGATTTATTGCCATTTTTGGTGGGTTGCTGTATTAGTTTGTTAGGAGTTTTAGGCTGGTGGCATGATGTTCAATCGAAAGGTGATTGATTTGTTGTCATGGTTTTAAAAGCTTTGGGATGTTAGTGATTGCTTTCGGATGGAGGTACCCATGACAACCATTTTAGGTCATGTCTTGGCACTGTTAGTTGTGGCTTCTGGTCAAGTTTCCTTGGATTTTTGTTTCATGCTTAGTTGCTTCCAAGTGCTTTTCTTTGTGATTGGAATTTCCTTAACATGCTTGTCTTGGTACTGTTAGTTGTGGCTGCTTCTGGTCTAGTTTCCCTTCATTGTTGTGTCTTACTTATTTGCCTCCCAAGTTCTTTTCGTTGTCATTGGAATTTTCTTAACATTCTTTTGGTGAAAATGTTGTTGTGAACTCTGGTACTTGGAGTTGGGTGTGAGTATGGGATACATATACGTGTCCAACATGGGAATATTTAAGTTTAGATATAGGCTGTGAAAGCCTGCAAATTTTAATTTCTTGATTGTTGCTGAATGGCCTTGCATAGTATGACCAATAGTTTAGTCTACTTTTTCATGGAGAATAGCAGTATTTGGCTTTCACCTAGATCAATAAGTTCAATAGCTGTAATATTGACATGATTTCTTGATTGCATGACATGACATGATATTCGGTCATAATTTATACTTCAAGAGGGATGGTTGGTATATAAGTGGACAGACTAAAGTGTTTGGTTCAGAAATTTTCATATTAGTAGACTTATCTTGTATTGTTTTTCAAATATTGACATCATTTTTTTCCTTTTGTTAATATTAACTTTTACTAGTTAATTGCATGTGAACCATATTATCTTAATTTTTTATTGAAAAAAAAAACACCATTTGGCATAGAAATATAAACGATTTCCCTTGATTGAGTATTTTATTTCTACTTTTGCCTTTGATTGTCAATCTTGTATGAGAGAGTCCATTATCAATATCATGCCCAGTTTCCCACTGGATACTCATGGTAATTAATCCTATTCCATGATAAATAATCAGCATAAATGATTGATAATATTCTATTACTGAATAAGCAAGTCTTGGAAAATAACAAAATAAATAAATTTGCATTGAACCTAATTAGCTCTGGTATGATAACTTTAATGAGGTGTTATCTTTCTTGAATATTGATATATTTCTTTTCCTTATTTTGTTTTTGTATAGTCTATAAGAAGGAAACATTTAATTGTCTTTGTTTTTATTTTGGAAAATATTACCAGTAGTATTATGATTTAGTTATGTTGAAAAATCGGGTAAAGAAAACGGAAAGAACATAATAATTTTATCGAGGTTCAGCAATGTACTTACGTCCTCGGTGCCCTAGGCGGCGCTAGAATTTTTATTCAATGTCTCATAGGTTTTGGTTACATCTCCTTTTATAATAAATAAATCCTGGTACATATTTACAAAAATAACCGTGTACTGTACCCCCAACCCACATAATCGTAACCCCTACTACGAGACTTTCTTTGTCTTTACCAGTATATTTATGAGTCATACCTAACAAATCTCCACCTTGGCGAATATTCTGCCCCTTAGAAAACATTCAATGTGGGTTGGGTTATCTTACTTTTTTAACAACTCGAAACATTCAACAAGTCCAAACAATGCATGAACTTGTCTGTCGTAATTGGCTTGGTGAACATATTAGAGGCATTCTCATCAGTATTTACCTTCTGAAACAAAATCTCTGCATATGCAAACAACTCTCTGATCTTGTGAAACCTTACATCAATATGCTTAGTTCTAGCACGATATACCTGATTCTTAGCCAAGTGAATAGTACTTTGATTGTCACAAAGCAACTGAACTCCACCTTGCTGAACACCCAACTCTTTCACTAAACCAGTAAGCCATAAAGCTTCTTTTGCAGCTTCAGTCGTTGCCATGTATTCAGCTTCAATTGTGGATAATGCCGCAACAGATTGAACAGTAGACTTCCAACAAATAGGCCCACCACCAAGAGTAAAGACATACCCTGTCGTAGATCTTCTATTATCCAAGTCACCCGCATAGTCTAAATCCACATATCCTACAACCAAAGGATTATCCCGCTGACTACCAAAAATAATTTAATGTCCCACAGTACCTTTTAAGTATCTAAAGATCCATTTGACTGCTTCTCAATGTTGTTTACCAGGTTTAGACATGTACTTACAAACTTGACTAACAACATGAGCTAAATCAGGACGAGAACATACCATTGCATACATCAAGCAACCAACATCATTAGAATACAAAACCTTTGACACATCTTTAGCTTCCTTATCTGTCTTAGGGAACTGTTCTGATGAGAGCTTAAAGTGATTCGCAAATGGAGTGCTCACTGGTTTTACGCTGCTCATCGCAAACCTTTCTAGCATTTTCTCAACATAACCCCATTGAGATAGCCACAATTTCTTTGAGTCTTTGTCCCTGCAAATTTTCATTCCAAGAATTTTCTTTGCAGCACCTAAATCTTTCGTATCAAATTCCTGACCCAATAAAGTTTTCAAACCGATAACATCATCCATTTTCTTCGAAGAAATTAACATATCATCAACATACAATAACAGAAAAATAAAAGAACCATCATTAAGACTCTTAACATAGACACAACAATCATACTCACATTGTTTATAGCCAATCTTGATCATATAGGAGTCAAACCGTTTGTACCATTGTCTCGGAGACTGTTTCAACCCGTACAAAGATTTCTTCAATCTGCAAACTAAATGCTCGTTTTCAGGTTGAGTGAAACCTTCAGGCTGCTACATGTAGATCTGCTCCTCTAAATCGCCATGGAAAAAAGCAGTTTTCACATTCATCTGCTCTAAATGCAAATCCCAACTAACCACCAATACAAGTACTGCTAGGATTGAAGTGTGCTTGATCACAGGAGAAATAAATTCCATCATAATCAACTCCTTTCTGCTGTGAAAAATCCTTTGCTACCAAACGAAACTTGAACTTCTCCCCCTCTTTTTATGTTACTATTGGTTTTTTCTTATACACTCATTTACAACCAATAGGCTTCTTACCCTCACGAAGACGAACTAACTCCCATGTGTGATTGTGATTCAAAGACTCCATCTCCTCAACCATGGCAGCCATCCACTTGTCCCTGACTAGTAACAATATCATGAAAAGTAATCGGATCATCACTGCTAACAGTAAGTGGAAAAGAGACCAAGTCTTCAAAACCCAATCTGTTCGGAGGCTTTATATTCGTCCGTCTCACCCTGTCTCTGGCGAGACTATAATCCTGCAAATCAACCGCAGTGGAACCACCAGAAGTCGATTAAGAAGTTTCTGTTTTCTCAACTGGAAACTGCTCGAAATCCACCACTGTCATGTCTTTCTTATGCTGCAACATGGGTTGTTAATCAAAAACAACATCTCTACTGATCACAATTTTCTTCGCAACTGGATCCCAGAACTTGAATCCTTTGACATCTGTCTTGTAACCCAGAAAAATGCACTCATTCAATTTTGTATCAAGTTTGGATCTCTATCAGCAGGTACATGCACATAAGCAGGACAACCAAAAATTCGTAAGTGATCAAAAGTAACATCATGACCAGTCTATACCTCTTCTACAACTTTCTCATCCAATGATGCCCTTAGCGATCTATTGATAAGATAACACGCCATGTTAACAGCCTCAGCCCAGAAGTGTTTGGGAAGTCCCGCATTCAACCGCAAACATCTGGCTCTTTCATTCAACGACCTGTTCATCCGTTCGGCAACACCATTCTGTTGTGGAGTCTTGCGCACTATAAAATGTCTCTTAATCCCATTCTCCTTACAGAAGTTTAGAAACTGTGAATTTGTGTACTCCGTACCATTTTCAGACCGCAAACACTTGATTTTTTGTCCTGTTTGATTTTCTACCTTAGCTTTCCACCGCTTGAACTTCTCAAAAACGTCATACTTATGTTTCAAAAAATACACAAACTTTCCTTGAAAAATCGTCAATAAAAGTAACATAATACCTAGATCCACCCAAAGACGATGTCGTGGGAGGCCCCCATACATCAAAATGCACATAATCAAGAATCCCTTCAGTTGTGTGCTTCCCAGTCTTGAAACGAACTTTAGTATGTTTACCAAGAACACACTACTTGCAAAAATTGAGCTTACAACTTTTAACACCATACAACAGATTTCTTTTATGTAATTCAGCTATACCACGTTCACTAAGATGAGCAAGACGCATATGCTACAGTTTGGTAGTATCATCACAGGAATCAACAGAATGAACTTCACCTACAACGGTACTCCCTAACAATATGTAAATATTCCTTGCAGTCATCTTTCCTTTCATCATAGTCAAAGCTCCTTTAACAATCCGAATGGTTTCCCTATCCTCATTGTGCAAAGTTCCCAGAGATATCAAATTCTTCTTCAAATCTGGGATATGTCGAACACCACACAACGTCCGAACAGAACCATCATACATCTTAATTCTGACATCACCAATACCAACAATATTGCAACATTGATCATCACCCAAAAAGACAGAACCAGAATTAACCGACCTGTATGTCGAAAATCATTCCCTATTTGACGTGATGTGATAAAAACATCCAGAATCAAGAATCCAAGCATCCGTCAATTGAGTCGTTGAAATAGAGAGCATATCACCCTCACTGCAGTCAGAATTGTCATCCTCGACCACATTCACAGGCTTGGATGAGTCGTCACGCTTCTCATCAGTATGCTTTTTCAACTTCGGATAGTCTCGCTTCATATATCCCGCCTCCTTGCTCTTGTAATAGTGAATTATCTTCTTATCCCTAGATTTGGATCTGAAATTCTGCTTCCCAGAAACTGCTTCTCTAGCTTCCATCCACGATCTCGATTACCCTTGACATATAAGCTATTAGCTTGAGAGTTTTCCCATGCATTTTGTTTTCGCTGGTTGTGAGCCAACAAGGCTGCAGTAATCTCCTCAACTTTGATAGTCTCTTTCCCATATGTAAGAGTAGTCACCATGTGTTCGTAAGAGGGAGGCAACGAACATAACAGAATCATCGCTTTGTCTTCATCCTCAATTTTCACATCAAGCCAAGCCAAATCAGAAACTATTTGATTGAATACTTTCACGTGTTGCACCAAATCATGATCATCATGTATCTTCAGCTCATACATCCGCTACTTTAGATACAGTTTAATTGTTAAGGATTTGGACATAAACTAACTTTCCAACTTCTTCCAAATTTCATCTGGAAACGACAGATGCTTGACGTGATATATGACCTCGTCCACCAAACATAACCGTATGGTTCCTGCCGCTCGCTGCTGCAATTCTTCCCAATCTTCCTTCTCCATCAACGTCGGCTTTGTAGGTCGCAAAGCCTTCAGGATATCTTACTGCACCAACATATCCTTCACCCTTGTTTGTCATAATCCGAAGTTACCCTGACCATCGAATTTCGCGACTTCGAATTTGGCTCCTGACATCTTATATCAATTGTTGAAAAATCGGGTAAAGAAAAAGGAAAGAAAACAAGAATTTTAACGAGTTTCAGCAATGTGCTTACGTCCTCGGTGCCCTAGGCGATGCTAGAATTTTTATTCAATGTTTCATAGGTTTTGGTTACATATCCTTTCTAATAAATAAATCCTGGTACATATTTACAAAAATAACCCCGCACCCCCAACTCATATAATCGTAATCCCACTACGAGATTTTCTTTGTCTTCACCGGTATATTTATGAGTTATACCTAACAAATTAACTATTATTTGGTGTAACGATTAATGCCATTTTCTCTTTATCTTCACCTTCTTATATGTGGAAATCAAAAGTGGAAAACGAGCTTTACATTTTCTATAACTGTTTATTCTTCAGATCTTGCGATTATTCAGTGAATCTTCTGAAAGTATTGATGTCCTAAAGGTAGATTTGGCTGAGGCAAAGAAACGCCTTTCTGCACGCAATAAACAGTTGCATCAGTTGTGGTATCGATCTGTTACATTGCGCCATATAATCTCCTTGTTAGATCAGATTGAGGGCATAGCTCAGGTTTGTTCATCATTATGTATATCATTCAAATGACATTTTCTTGGTATTTTCAAGCTATATCTTCATTAGGATTCGGCCACTTTCACTTCTATCCGCACCTTCTTTTGTTCAAGCAATTAATCCAGTAAATCTGATGATCAACTTGTTTGTTTGTTACCTGGATCAGGTTCCTGCTCGTATTGAGAAGCTCATTTCAGATAAGCAGTTTTATGCTGCAGTTCAATTGCATATTCAGTCAGCATTGATGCTTGAGCGAGAGGGCCTTCAATCGGTAATTTAAGATGTTTGCAAGCAGTGTATATGTTTCTAATTTTAAAATTTATTTTTGGTAAAACTTTGGTTCAACTCATGTTGTTGCTGATCCTAGACTAAATTGCTGTTGGCTTAAAATGTTACCAATACTTGTTTTAGCTTCTCTTACATTTTATCGTTTAGAGTAATTTGACATAAACAGATCAGGTGTCAATCTGTAAGTTGTTAAGCCTGCCAAACTAAATGGCCATATTTATGGAACAGCTGTGGTTAAGTCTTTTAGCATAAGGGGTTTGTTGAATATCTGGAAAATTGAAAAAAGAAAAAATTGCCTAGTTTCAAGTTAAACCCCAATGCTTAGAAAATGAGGACATTAACCTCTAAACTAAATATGTTGTACAGTTTTAACCTTCAAATAAGTAGACTGTTAATTGGAATTTGGACTGCACGTGCTGCTCCGAAGATATATTAACATGCTGTTCTCTATTTTCTCTCTCTGATTTCTTCTTTTGTCTCTTTGTTAATGGTATAATGCAACAATATCAAATTCAACCATTAAAATGTCTGAAACTATGCTGACATGCAAAATAATCTAGAGGTACATAAAGAAGTGAAATAAAAGATGGAGTCAAGTCAATTAAAAGCTAGAAGCTCAGTGGTGTTTTGTTAATTGCAAATTTATCCCAAATGGAATAATTGATGCCTAATTTCATATGTTCATAAAACAGAGGTTTCAAAATAGCAAATAATCAACCTAGTTATGGAAGAAATATCAAAATTATATATAGTTCAGCTTTTCTACGACTTCAGTTTTTTTCCGGAATTGAAATTACAGAGAGCTTTAAGATGTCCTGCTTGCATTTAATCATTACCTAGGTTGGTGCTCTCCAAGACGTTCGATCTGAACTGACAAAGTTGCATGGTAATCTGTTCTATAAAGTTTTGGAGGATTTGCTTGCCCATCTTTACAATAAGGGTGAATACAGGTATTTCTATCTGTTAAGGGTTTAAGTTCCGTGTCATGTTCTTTTTGTGATGCATTGTCTCATGACTCTCATCTATTGACATTGATTAGGAAAGAAAGAAATGTCTAATTAAATTCCTTTTAACAAAACTTTTGGTCATTAAGCTGATTAAATTCTGCAGCTTAGTTGCATCAGACCTGCATGAAAAGGATGACGAAGTGCCAAAAACCACTGCTGTTGCAATTGCTGAGGGATCATATAAACTGAGTTCAATACATGGAGGGTAAGTCCATATGGTTCATTTGTTTTTTTTCAAGATTGTAAAAATTGAATTAACCATTCGTATTTGTGAATATTCTAAGAAGGAAGGGAAATTCGAAAAGGAAGAAAGAGAGATTTCAAATGAAAAGAGAGAAATTATGTTTGTATTACTCACTTTAAAAATAAAAGAACTAGTCTGCTTTCATAGGTTCAGAATTACAAAAGTAAAATTTAACTTGGAACTCAAAATTTAGGATGTACAAAAACTCCTTTTCTACTAATTTAAATCACGACAGCTTTCCACAATTTGATTGCCTGTTTGCAAATTCCTCTTGAAGAATTTTATGAGTTTCAAACGTCACGTCAGTTATTTACTTTAAGTTTGAACCAATACTTCATTTATTGGTTCTTTCCTTGAAATAGTTTGGAACTCCATCCATGATCCTTAACCTTTTATTTTGATTTTACTTTAGTCTTCAATCTATGAACTGTTTCATTTGGTCCTTAAACTTTTAAAACCATTCTAGTCCTTCCTACATATATTTTGGTCAATACTGAAGTAATGTTTAAATTGTAGCTTTTGTGGCACAATATGTAGGCAGTCCCTTGTCGCGTGGACACTTTCCTTGATTGTTGGAAAAATGTGATAAAACTACCAAAATGAAAATGCATCAAAAGGTTAAGGATACAAATGGAACACTTTAGTAATTGGGGACTGAAATGGAATCAGGATAAAATATTAGCCATATCAATTAAATATTAGGATTTTTTGTTTCTATATCAAAGTTGGGCACTTGGTCCCCTCCACCCATTACCAATGATTTTAGGTTGGATGCTTATACCAGAGTTTAGGTTTTGTCATCTTCTTCCTATCTAACTCCATGCGATTGACAATTCCTAGTAAGGTTGTCCACGTGTAGGCCCTATGAGCGACACATGAGGGGAGTGTGGAGTGATATTATCCCACATCAATTACGTATCAGATTTCTTTATTTCTTATGGTCTTGTATTAAAGTTTGTTCCCCCCACCTATCACAAATTGATTTTTCGTTTAATGTTAATGAATTTATTTTTTAATTACATGAAAAGAAACCTTCATTACTGTTATTGTTAGTAGAGTTTTATGGTTTTTGCCGTGTATGGAGGTGTCTGTTTTGGTGATGTAGAGTTTTATGATTTTTTAATTACAATAAAATATTGATTATGATGGAGAAAATGTAAGTTGAAAGATCCGTAAAAAGAAACCTTCAAACGGGATTAAGCTTTTTCTTCTAGTTAATCTTTACCTCTGAACCTGTAAAATTACTAACATCTTTTTAAGAATCGTGTAACTTACATTTTCTCTATCATAATCAATATTTTATTGTTGACTTTTAAGTTCTCATTATGTGCTAATCATCAGAAGTCTACTCTGCTTGTTAGTGTAGAAGTGCAAAGAGGTTATTAGAGTAGTTGTTTTATTTTTATATTTTTTTCCTCCAGGGTTCTTATTTTAGTTATTTTTATTTTTTTAATTTTATATTTTACACTTGGTTCAGTTGTCTAAATTTGTTTCTCCACGTTTTCCTTTTTCAGGTCACCTTATGATGGTCATAACGAGAATGGTTCTTCAGAACCAAATGATGAAAAGCTTAACGGTGGTGATGGAAAGGATGGCAGAGTCTTATCCCATCAAATCCCAGTGTGGCTTTTTAATTCCACTCCTGATGAATTTCTTGTATGAATACTTCAATTAATATTATCTCATCACATAATGTTGGCTTAATTAAATTTTCTGAACTTTGGCATTAAAGAATTGTTTTTTCTTTCCTTAGGAAACAATTAAAAAGAGTGATGCTCCACTTCACGTGAAGTATTTGCAGACTATGGTGGAGTGCCTCTGCAAGCTTCACAAAGTAGCTGCAGCTGGTGCTTTAATATGGTTAGTTGCTTTCTTTATGTAGTAACATGTTTTAATGGAACCTAAGGTTTCTTCGTGATTTTAGATAGATTCTTACAACGGTTTTCTACAACTTTACTAGCATGCCTTAATTTTCCTTTGTTGGATGTACCGTTGATATTTATGAGATGGTCTTTTAATTAGATACGTGAACATAAAATAAAGGAAGGATTTAATTTGCATGATGAGCATGGTGAATGTAGTCTTGAGCTTTTCCCCCCTCCTTTTGGTATTTAACAAACTAATGACATGAACTTCACATACTCGTGTGTTTCTTTTTTACTATCTGTAATATTTTTAAATTTTTATTTACGCGGTTCTTGCTATTACTTGTCTTCATGATGGTTTATCTATTTAAGGATTGTCAAAACCTTGAACAGCCAAAGATTGCGATCCACTGTTCATGAGATCATCACATCTAGGATTAAAGCCCAAGCACACTTCATAAATTCTTCAAAGTCTGAAATTGACCAGGGCGCTCAAACTGGTACCACCCATCTCCATTTTTTGAAGGGGAAGCTAGAAAGCTACCAATTATTAAAACAAAAGCCTCAGAATGGGCTATCATTGGCTGGGACTCTGATAGCAGTGAGCCCTGTCTCCCCTGTGATGGCTCCTACAGGAAAAGCACAGGTTGCTGCAAAAGAGCTTCTTGATTCAATTTTGGACTCTCTTGTTCGGATATTTGGTGAGAGATTGAATAATTTTTTTACTCTCAGTTTCTTTCTATTTCATTTACTCTTTAATTAAAATCTGAAACTAAATTTCTGAGCTGTAATTGGTCAGGAAACCACGTTGTTGTTGGAGAGCTTATTGAGTCAAAGTCGTCTTCCCTGCAAAATGATATGATGAATCTAAAGTCAATGCCAACAGATGGAAACCTTGATTCTGAAGCATCTCAAGTTACTGGAGGCTACAGTATTGGTTTTTCATTGTCAGTTTTACAGGTCATTTATCTTTTCTATTGCTTTAATATTGCCATAGTTTCTTTTAAGAATGGTGTCCCAATAACTTCTTCTATACTCTTTATTTATTCAATTTGCAATTTTTTATCCAATGATGTGATACAGAGTGAATGTCTACAACTCATTTGCGAGATTCTTCGAGCTACCCCTGAGGCTGCATCAGCAGACGCTGCTGTACAAACTGCCAGGCTTGCTACCAAAGAAAAGAGGCAAGTAACTGAGTCTGTTGTGATAATACTTGGAGGAAGAGATAAAGTAAGGATTAAGTTATAGTTTCAATTGGTCAATCTCTACTTTGATAGCGTATTTTCATGTTTCACTTACGTGAAATGCTTATTTTATTTTGTTTTATTATTATTATTTTTTTTGTTTTCGGAGGGGGGGGGAACATTTGCTCCCAAATCTCCTCTCATATTTAGGAAGGGGTGAGAAAGAGTAACTGCTTCAACAATATGTACTAGATCACTGAGACTAAGGCCTATTCATAATTTCGGCATGATGTTAATTGTAAAAAGAGAGATTGTAAATATTGATGATGTTGGTGTTAGAGGAATTCAGGACTGTTATTTAGGATTTTCCCTGGAAGAGTTTGAATGTGACCTTATGGTGGTAGTGAAGTGTGATAAGTTAAAGTCTGGATATGGCTGTGGATGTGACTGTAGTGTCCAACTGCCTGAAGTGAGTTTTTTTCCTCCTTTTAATTTAGCCCATTTGATAGTATTTTTTGTTTTGCATCTTTTCTTGAGAATTATCTCCTTGCATGATCTAACAAAATCCAACTAGAATTTAATTTTCATTATCTTGTCTCTACTTTCATTTGAATAAAAATGGATGTCTTTGCACTCCCTCAATTAGTTATTAGAATAGTTGTTTGATCGAAGTAAAGTTTCCACAGTACAGTTCTCTTTGTTTATAAACTATTATGAACTTATTGTCATATTGCAGCTGTGAGAAATTGAGAGAATAAAAAAGGAAGACATTGAGAGAAGAAAAAAGAAATTTTCTAATCAAAATTCTCATTGAAAACACAGAAAACACAACCTATTTTTCTATGGATTGTAAGTTAGAGTCCTACTAGGTATCTTTTCTTCCTAACTTTTATCTCCTAAAGTTTATCTTATGTCCTAAGAAACTTAGTCCTAATCGTACAATTTACAAATTAAACTTTATCATAAAATAAATCAAACTTCTAAGTGAAATAAAATTCCTAATTATCGGCAACTTTCTACAACAGCAAGTTAGGAGAATATAAACTGTAATCTGCTCCCTAAGTTAGCATATATCTTTTGGTGTGGTAAGTTATTCTAATTATCAACAGAAAGGCATATATTATTATCCACTTCGTCAAATATTGTGTATGTCTGAAATGCTGAGTAATGATTGACTGACAAAAGAGTATGCGATGCTATTCAGTATTAGCTATAGTGAGTTAAGAGGGTATTTAAGTAGCTATTATTTCCCCCAATTTATTTCTTTAGATGTAAAAATGTCTTTGCATCATCTCTGCTTCCATCCATGTCCACTGTCAGAATATTGCTTGACGATAAATAATATATATATATAACAGGGTATCATGTGATTCATGTCTTCCAAAATGAAAAAAACAGAAAATCATCTGGATAGCCAACATTAGCTTCCTTCCTTTCATGGATGCTGACCTACCACTTCTTGATTCAGAGTTCAGCCTAAGGGCTTCAGTTGTCGTAATTATTTATACCAGAACAGCAGTCATAGCTAATGTGAAATACTATTTTCATCATAATTGCAGCAGTTTATAAATGAGAAGCCGAAATGGTTAGCATTCGTGTATCTGTTCTTTTGAGTAGGCTACAAAATGTGGTTTTATTTTTTTACGTGGTTTCATCCCACGTCAGTTAAGTCTTATGCCTGTCGTGCTCTACATTCAAGTTGCGCATCTCCTTTTATAGCCATTTTGTTTATGGTTGGACGCTTTAAGTAAATATTAAATCCCAAGTTTGTGGTGTTGTGCATTTCCCTTTATGTTTTTATGAACATGTTAGGCCTGTTTGTTAGTATTGGTTTGCAGATGAGGGGGAGTATTAAATGGTTTTATCCCATGTCAGTTAAGGCTTTACTTTGCAGTGGCTTTATTTTAGGTTGGGATTCTCTCCCACAGTCTATAGGTTTTAGATTTGATGCCTAACATTATTTACCATTACTAGTGCTCCCCACCCTGTTTGACCACTATAACCGCAATAATTTGCCTCTTAATTTTCTTTTTGCTCGTTATTGTCATGGAAGCGTGAAAGTTGATTGATAGTTTTGATTATAGTGATGGATCGGAGGATGGCCTCACTTTTTCTTTCCGTTTCACGGATGCTACCTTGTCAGCTCCTAACCAGGGTACGCTAAAGCTGAATTACTGCAAACTTATTAAATTATTATTAGTCATTTTTCCATGACTTATCTGAAGTTATTAATTTGATATATTACATTATTTGTTCTCCTCAATTTTAGTTTATTTTTTGGTGTCTCTTCATTATTGTGATTATAAGTATTAATCAGCCAAGAAAAGAATTGTCTGTCCAATTAGATAAAATCTATGCCGATGAGCTTGACTATTTGAGTTCAAGTGTGACAATTGTAGCAAATTTTGGTATCATAGGAATGAGGGTTCATCCCTTACGGGCATTTCCTCTGGAGAAAATAGAAATGGTACAAGAAACATAAATCAACCGAAGTTCATCTCATTTCCAAAAACTGTGGTAGAATTTTGATGTTTTTCCCTGTAAACATTGTAGAACTATGGTTCCTGCTTATGTTTAACTGACAGTTTATATAGTAGTGAAATTTTCATTTGAAGTATTTTATGTTCAGCTGGCAGGGGAAGCCACAGGTTTGGTTCTATCAAATGATCTCAACTTTTAATCCAAGTTTCTTGTTTAAACAATCAGTTGTGTAGAATTTTTTTTGTTCTTCTGATTTAATAGATATTCTCTCCTTTTCTCTCTCTCTTGCAGCAGTCATTTATGATTTCTGTTTTCTTGTGTGGCGATTGGAAACTTTTGTCTTCCCTTCTTTCTTCTGTTCCAGTTTTTGTAGTTGCAATTTTTTTCACATAATCAATTTGTTAACCATCTTCCTAATTGGAGCTGATTTTATTCGCCAAGGATGGAGTAAGAAGGGTTCCAATGTCCTACAAGAAGGTTATGGCTCTGCGGCTGTCTTGCCTGAGCAAGGCATTTATCTAGCTGCATCTATATACCGGCCTGTTCATCAGGTTTGGGACCATAAGAATCAAATATTTATGCTTTGAAGTATATTCTTTATAACATTTTTCATAGCAGTGTTGTCAAGGTGTGCACATACGCCTTGTGCCTTGGACCCTTTTGGGCTAGGTGCATTTGATGGAACGCGCCTGGTGTGCTTAGGTGTACGTTTTTGTAAGGCGATAGGCCTAAGAAAATATGCCTAATTAAAGTTCTCTTTAGTTATTTTAAACATTTTCCATTACGTACAACTAGTACCAAAGGGTATAGCATCAAACTGTATTTCTCAATATTTAAATATTCAATAACAAATACGAGACCATAAGGAGATCATGCATATTATTCATATTGGCAAAAAAAAAAATTTGCATGTTGTAGATAAACTGGAACACTCTAGAGAGTTTATTATCATAATTTTATATCAAACTTATTATATATATACACAGAAACACATGCATATACATATACTTGTAGACGCGCCCATACATACTGCATCTTACTTTAGGCGAGTGCTTATCATGCACCCACTCCCAAGGAAATATAAGGGTTCTAGTGTGTGCTTTTCGCTCTTGGTGACTATGATTCATAGATGGTTCTGTAAATGACCTTTTTTAATCTGATGGTGCAGTTTACAGATAGGATTGCTTCAATGCTACCGAATAAGTATTCCCAGCATGGGTAAGTCTCAATTCTAAGCTTGCATGTGGTACAAAGCAGGGTCACTTCTCGTGAATGATATGACAAGTATTTAAGGATAACTGTTAGGTAAAGCATATAGGTAGTTTCATTTTCTAACTTCACGCTTTTCTTTTTTTCAATCTCTTGTTTGCAACACTTGGGTCTGAAGTGAGATGTGAAAGGGGGAAACTGTAGAACCCTTTGGTTTCTATATGTATTATCACAGTGATTTGATCATTAAGTTTCCAAATGATTTCAGCCTTGTCCTTTGCTGTGGCATTTTTAAACATTATCCATGTTAATTCTTTTACTGAAAGTTGTTCCCCCCCCTGCTTATCTTTAGATGAGGTGTTTCCATATTTTTGTAGGAGTTATTTTTTGCATGTTTTCCATTATTTCTGATATGAAGTTAGAAAGCTTGCTGGGGTCCTTCCATGGTTTGCTATCTTCGTAGTTATATCCCAATTTTTTGTAATTATTTCTAGTTTGAATATATATTATATAGATCATGGTGATATGGACCTGTATGCTTTTCAAAAATCAAATTTAGATTGTTATAAATTTGACGCTGTGTATAGGAGATTTTGTTATTTTCATCTAATATAGGTGGAATTTGTAAATTATGTGGCCCAACTCTTTTTTGCCAAGTGAGCTGTAACTTTGACATTGATTTTTTTTTTCATCGTTAAATTTCTATGATTGCAGTAATGATGGATTGCTTTCCTTTGTGGAGAACTTTGTGAAAGATCACCTTTTACCAACCATGTTTGTTGACTACCGAAAAAGCGTACAACAAGCTATATCAAGCAAGTTTCGTAACCATCTGCGTCCCACCTGTCATAAATTGGCAAAATTTCAATCCATGCCTCATATTAATTGCTTTATTGATAAAAAAATATGTTTACATTTCTCATTTTTATCAGTTTGATGGATGCTAAGCTAGGTTTGCTTTACTTGTGTTAGCGAGTCAGTACCTGGTAAAGATTGTTGGGACAATATAATTAAAAATGTATTGAAACAAAACTGCATGAGATGCTGATTTGAATAAAATGACAATGTAATTAGTGGAGCTCGGTACTAATTTACTGGATTGGACGAAAGAATATCTACAAGTCCATCTTTCTGAGTACTGAATTGGAGTAGTTTCATTTTAGAAAGCAGAGAATAATGAGAACCATGCTGCAAGTGACGGGTGGGTTTGTCTCCAGAAATGTGGGTTTCAAAAATGTTTGAAACTGTCAGTCGCGTCACATATGTGATTCTCATGTTTTGGTTCCCTCTTCTCCTTACTTTATCTGAAAATGAGTTTTTACAGGTCCAGCTGCATTTCGACCGCGCACGCATCCCAATTCTTCGTATGCTTCGTCTATTGAGAAGGGTCGACCTGTCTTGCAGGGGCTTCTGGCCATTGATTTCTTAGCAAAAGAGGCAAGCATATCTTATCCTTCTTATTTTCAGAAAAAAAAAATCTATTTTTCTTTGCTTTCAATCGCATAATATTATTTAATTTCTTTTTCAATAAGTGACTATTAGCTTCTTCCTTTTCTTTTGTTGTCTTGAACATCTTCCATTCATGATTCAGGATATGAGAGGCTTTGTAATCTGGTAACCTCCATTCCGGCCTTTTCTTTTTCCTAATTGTAAACTTTACTTGAACTCTAGGTTCTTGGTTGGGCTCAAGCAATGCCTAAATTTGCTGCTGAACTTATGAAGCATGTGCAAACTTTCCTAGAGCGAACATTTGAAAGATGTCGTACCTCATACACGGAGGTATGGATTTGTCTGTATACACATCTGTCCTTACGTGTGCTTCTAACCTACTTTTTTTTATTTGTTGTTGGTTTTGTTGCGTCCATTTTCTGAAAATTATGAAGTAAGATATGTGCATGTTTCTTCTAAAAATTATTTGATTGAGATAGTTGAAAGTAATGCTTGGCATTATTGTTAGTGGCAATACAATGTAGAATTGGTCTCCAACTTTTTTTGTCCATTCTATTATGCTTATGATAATCGCCAATTCATTGAACATTTTGTTAATATTTCAGGCAGTTCTTGAGAAACAGAGTTATATGATCATTGGAAGGCATGATATTGATAAATTGATGCGAAGGGATCCAGCTAGTGCATGTTTACCAAAAGCATCTGTTCAGTCGAATTCGAGAAATAACGCTTACGATGCGAGAAGCACTGATGTTGAATCAGAATTGAGTGACCTTCTCTTAAATTTGCGTCCTATTAAGCAGGTACTCATCTCACATGCATTTAAGCTTTACTTGCAAATGAAACTTAGGGTGCCATCTTTCTTATAATTTTGTGTTTTCAAAGTATCTATTGAAGATGTTCATATTTTCTCTTACCACGTCTCACATGCAGGAGAATCTAATACGTGAGAACCATAAGCTTGTTTTGCTGGCATCCCTGAGTGATTCATTGGAGTATGTTGCAGACTCAATCGAAAGGCAAGTGTTTTCATCTCACTTCAGTTGGTAATTGTATATATTGTGCAAATTCGTGAATCGACGGTGGCTTTAAAAGAGTAGTGTATAAAATACGAGGCATGCGATCTATTCCCTCCGTTCCAGAATGTGCATCTCGATGTTTATCGACATGTACCAGTGAGTTATGAATACCTTTCCCAAGTAGCTTGACATTTAAGAATTCAATCATGTACTTATAGATCCAGTGAAAGCTTGTGATACAAAGAGTGGTATATCATTTTTGCACTTCATGTTATTAATGGAGCTTATCCTTATGCAATAGTTACATGTCATGATAAACAATTATGCTTTCCGGAACTTCCAATTCGGAAGTTTTCTGCTGTTTCTTACATTTTAGACATATCTAATGCAACATGTAGACTTGTACAACTGATGCCACTAACACCGAATCAAGTGGAGAATGGCATGCCTAGCCGAACAAGCAGTTCCCCTGCTAAGGCTCTGACGTCGTTCGCAGACGATTACAGAAAACTAGCAATCGATTGCTTGAAAGTTTTGCGCGTGGAGATGCAGTTGGAGACAATTTTCCACCTGCAGGTTTGTCGGGAAAAAGCAAAATGTAGAAACGAATGACTGGTGAAAGCATCTGTAACTAACCACACATTATTGGCTCAAACAGAAAATGACATACAGGGAATACCTGGATAATCAAGATGCAGATGAGCCTGATGACTTTGTTATTTCACTAGCTGCACAGGTCAAATTCTCCAACTCTTTGCTTTAATGAAAATTATAATCTCATCATCATCCAAATTCTCTTTTTGGTTTTCGCCATGTATAGATAACATGCAGGGATGAAGAAATCGCACCTTTCGTTGCCGGGACGAAGCGGAATTACATATTTGGTGGAATATGTAGTATTGCTGCAAATGCAACCATTAAGGTTGGACTTACATTGTAAATTTAACTTTGCTCCAATTTAGTACAGAATAGACCTACTTTACTCCTCTTACCGATTGGAGAATACTTCTGATTAGGCTTTGGTCGACATCAAATCGATCAACCTGTTCGGAGTTCAGCAGATATGTCGGAATTCAATTGCTCTAGAACAGGTCAGTATGTCCCTTTATTTTCAGCAGATGTGTCGGAATTCAAACTTTAGGTTCCAAGTCATACTGCCAAAATCCAAATGATTTGGATTTATGTCTGATTCTGGTCTTGCATCCAATCTATGTTCCCATTACAGTCTCTTGCAGCTATCCCTTCAATCGACAGTGAAGCCATACAGCAGAAACTAGAACACGTTCGAACCTATTACGAACTGTTGAATATGAGATTCGAGGCAAGATATCTGAACTCGTAGTTCCTTTTCGTGATTAGCGAATGAAAATTTTCGCCATTACAGATTAGTTTTTCTTTCCATATGCTTGCAGGCCTTGCTTGCCTTCGTGACAGAGAACGGGCACTTGTTTACACGTGCAGAGTTAGTAGTATCGACTAATCTTTTCCCGAACCGAACCTAAATATTTCCGTATCGGTTTAACGACGAATCATGCTGTTGTGTCAACAGGTACATTAATCTTCTAAAAGTCCAGATCCCAGGAAGAGAGATACCCCCAGATGCACTAGATCAAATGAAGGAAATTTTACCCCATTAGCAGTCGAAAGTGACTCAATTTGATCCTCCAAATAAATGACTCATCTCCTAATCGGTATGGGACGGGGATATGAGGTTGCTTCCATTATTATTGCAAATAAAAATCTGTGGCTACAGTAATTGTTAATACACAGTGTATAAGTGTTGATAGGTCGGATCAAGTTTAGGTCGAGCATAAGCATGCTATTAGCATCATATTCAAGCCTAACCAGGTCTAAAACATAAGTTTCAAAAAAAAATTCAAAATTCAATTATATTTGCAAATAGATAAATCCGATTATATCTATCCACAATAGCCAAAATGAAATTCAATATGGGTTAAGCGAGCTGTCCTTGCTAATTGCACATTCTCTGATGTTTGTTTGTTTGTTTGTCTCTTAATGGAACCATTTAACGCGTTTGTTTCGAACCTTTGAATGATTTAGTGCGATTCAGCAAAACAATGCTGAATGATTTAGCACAGAAGTACATTCTGAATGATTCAGAGCCATTATCAAACAACATGTCACATCCAGAGTTAATTCATACAGAACCTCTGAATCATTCAACGTTTAATCATTCTGAATTAAACAAACATCCCCTTAGTTATCGATGATTTTGTCTGCAATATGAAAGTATATTTTCTTAACTAACATGATACAATCTTTATTTTTTTTCTGCATTCATTTTCCCTAATTAAGCCAAAATTAAAATATATTATATTTAAAAAAAAATTATAATATAATAATTAATTATGATTAATAATAATGGCTGTATTTAGGTTTAAATCAGCAAAAGTTTAATGATAACCTTTCACGGGACATGCTTTTTTTTTTACACAACGCTCGAGCTTTCTTAATTAATTAATCCCTTTATCATTTTTTTAGTACATCAACCAACTTGAATTATGGGAGCACCGAGTTTTTAAAACTCAAAAGAGATAAGATCATTTGGTTTGGCTTAATTTAATACAACTTTCGATGCATGCTTTCATGTTCCATGTTTTTAGCTCTTTAATTTTGAGAAAACCCAGTTGTCCAATTTTCACTAGGTACATACAGATCTAATCCCAATCCCCAAAGCAAGTGCATTGCATTTAATTTGCAAAACCCTAATTTTTTTTCTCGCAACAAACAAAGTTTGCAACAGATAAAAACCCTAATGAAATTTGGGTTCACACATGAAAGTCCTAGCCTACTAGGTAGGCAAGGACTACTTGGATTTATTTATTGGAGATAGCCTGTTTTATGTTTTAATAAATAACAAAAAGTACTAGTATTATATAAGTTTTAGAGTAAACTATATATTTGATCACCTAATTATTCTTACAGTTTCGTTTTGGCCACCCAATTATTTTTTTTAAAATCATATCTAACGTTATGTTTTGGTTTCGTTTTGTTCATCCGCTAATAAAAAATTAATGGTGATATTGATGTGTCACCGTAAAGTAATGTCACATCATCATTAAGAAAAAGAATTTAAAAAATACAACGACTACAATTCTATTAAATTTTTTAACGATAAATGACCAAAATAAAACTAAAATGTAATGTTAGGTATGATTTAAAAAAAGATAGTTGTGTGACCGAAACAGAAACACACTATTTTTTAAGGTTAATGTAATTTTATCCATTCAACTCATTCATTTTTATCTAATTAGTATTTGAATTCAGTTGATTTTTTTATAATTTGATCATTAAATTAAAATTTTTAATCTATATCTATATATATATCTATATATATATATAATAGTTATGCGAAATAATTAACATCAAAATTCAAGGATTAAATTAAGAAAAACAACTAACTTTGGGTACCAATTAGGTACAAGTTACCAAGTTTAGAGGCTGAAGTACATATTAATCATTTTTCAATCATACGTTTATAATTATATCAAGTTTAGATTAAACTCAATTATACAAACCATTATCTCAAACCCTAAATTACACTGAAACCTTAAAGTTCAAAAACCTTCTACTTTTCATTAAGCTAATTACCTCGTAGTGTAACCCCAGACCGATGCGGATAACCCAATCCGATCTGGGTTGTCACATTAGGGTCATCGGAGTGACCCACTGTAAAAATAGCGGAAAATTTAAAACTTTTATCAGAACATGTAAACTTATAAAATCATTTGTCACTATTTAAAAATAAAACAGATTTCCAGACTCGTATATAAAACAAAATACAATTACATGCCCCCTAATCACATGTATCATACTCTGCAACAACGCCGAAAGAACTCCCTTGCTAAAGTCGATAGATGCACTGGTACAATTCTTTTAACCTAAAAAGGTGAGTAATAGAGTGAGCTTCGAAAAGCTCAGTAATACAGAACTATCAGATGATTCTGAAGAACGTGCAGATACAGATAAACATACATATCCTTATTATTTCCGAACATTTACAGATTTTTATGTTGAGCAGAGATCCTACTGATATTTTAGATGGTAACGGACAATGAGCTTTCAGTTCAGACAAATATTTCGGATGACTGAGTTCAGAAGATCAGAATAGGTAATCTAGTGTGTTCCCGTAAAACCAGTAAAAAAGATACAGATCTTTTAAAACACACATATATATATACCCCCATCCCATCACATCAGAATGTGTAGGTTCCCCAGAACCATACACCCAACCCAACACATCATATAAGACCCTGAGCACAAAGCCGAGAAACCTGCGGAACTTCTTCCTTCAACAATACCCCCCAATTAAAACATTTTTCCGTCATTAAACGGAGATATCAGAAATCAAAACAGAATTCAGAACAGATATCAGAACAGAATCCAGATCAGAAATTAGAACAGAATTCAGGTCATGTATCAGAACATAATTCAAGTCGGAAATCAGATAAAATAATTATATGATTAGGGAACACACCAGAGTTTACAAATATTATTCAGATGTACTGGATAATCTTAGCAAGTAGAGAAACACAGATTTTCAGTGTACCGATAGAATGTCGGAATTTAGAATCACAATTGTAAAAAGTTCAATAACTGACGGAATCATCAATTATTCAGAATGTGAATTATCAGGATCATATCTTATTCGGACAATTTTCAAAAGTTGTACGTAATCAGAAGGGTATTCAGAATCCTTTACATCCATGTCAATTGATCGGATAATCGAACAACTTGAGAACGAAGATTCAGAACCTTAACAATTTATGTCCACTGGTCAATTCATTTTCCTTCCAGGGTATTTACTTTTTAATACCACAAATTCTTGTTCATAGATCATCTTCAGAATCATCGCTGAATAGATCTTCCAATGATCTTTATTTCATTTCCAAACTTCCACGATATCATGAAATACTGACGTGCTTGATTTTTAGTTCATGTTCCATAAGGTCAGTACATCTTATAAACTCATCAGAATTTCCAGACTTATCCAATTCACTTACTTAATCCTCAATCATTGAGGTTACTTAGCTTATTTAGCAATCAAGTCTATTCCAGTTACTTCAGGGTTTTTCAGAGTAATACAAACGTTCATGTATTTCAGATATATATTATACTTCAGATCCATTCAATTTGGTCTTCTTGGTTGATTTCTTTAACGAATATTTATTTCTTAGTATCGGATGTGATCCAGAGTTGAGCTGAGTACTTTCAAAATTATCATCGAACCACACTTGAGAAGACGAACACACATTCAAGAAACATCTATGCCGTTCAGGTACTGACATATCTTTAAGATTGATCAACTTACTTAAGTTGTGATCCATAACTTCTAAAGGTAGTCCAACACCTATGCTTATTTGGATTCCTTAATTAATCCAAGACATTTACTTAGAATAGGACACAAGGGTATTTTGGTAATTTTGGTGTTCATTTTTATTCCATTTATTTCAGAACTCGAAGATATCCAATCATTCTTGAGCTTAGTGGTATTCTTGGGTCATTTCCATTACAGTTGTATTTTGGTCATTTTACAGATTCATCGTATTTCAATCATTTCCTTCCGTCTGATCTTACTATTAAATTCAATCTTATCATTTATTTTAGTCCTTTCGAACAATTATGACAACAGAACACCCCAACAAATTATTCTTCAGGTATTTACTCATAACTCGGATATTTCTGGGTCAAGTGTCTTCTCAGATTTTACAAACGGAATATCAGGAATTTTCCTGAACTAAGTCAAGATCTTAACAATCAAATTCGTACTTAATCGAGTTAAGTACGAATCCTCAAAGTATTTTCTCATTCAGGGTCAACTCAGACTATTCTACCTATTAAGGGCATTTCCGTAATTACTTAACCAAATAATTTAGATATTAGCTCTTAACGAAAATAATATAATTTAGAGATCCTATGATTAATTATTTTCTTGAACACTCTCTGATCTTGAAACGGTTCTCTTAAAAGACTTCTAGTATCCTTCACAAACTCTCTTAGGATTAAAACCGGTTATCCATAATTTCCAAATAAAACTAACATTTCTTATGCACATCAATATTTTTATCATATCAATATGTCTGTAAAATCCTCTTATCTAACTTCCATATTCAAATCTTGTCTTTTTCTAACATAAGGGTATTTTCGTAATTTTACTCTACCGGAGTATTCTCATAATTTCTCTTACAAGTACCTTTAACATTTAACCTTTGATAAAATAAATTATAAGTTGCAGATACATGGCTGATTTCTTTATCACTAATCACAAACTTGTAATTTAATCTAACAATTCCTCAATCTCTTATATTAGTCATTCGATCCGTAATTAGTAACAGAATTTCTACCACATCATATCGAGTGTATAAATTATTCAACTCCACCAAAGTGACCAACATTATCGTGTTCATTCATTTATCAATATAAACATGTTCCATAAATCATAAAGAGGTAGTAAAGTATTACCTCAATTTCCGTGCAATATTGATCGACCATAAAAATTCCATTCGAACGCCTTTGATCTTCAATTCAACTTCCAATAATTCCTCAGATACATATCAACATAAATTATATCAGAAACGGAGCTTAATTGCGATAAACGAATCGAATCTGGTGATAAATCAATGAAAAATAGCTTACCGGGTTCGAATTTGGCAAAACGGACTTCGGATTTGGATTCAGGACATCGAAAGCATAAAATATGACTTTTCAGAAATTTGAAATTTTCGGTCAAAATCAAAGTCAACATGTTTGACCGGTAATTTTGATGCCTTCGGGTCTGAATTTTGAAAAACTTATTGCGGAATTGGATTTGGAACGTCGAAAAATGTCAAGATAGGTATACTTGGTCAAAGTCAAAGGTCATTTAATGCCCGGTCAAAGCCTATCAAAGTTTTGGTCAACGCCGGTCAACGGATCGG